TCCTGGTCCTCTGTTCCACAGACAGCTCCCTGATCGAAAAGGAAATCTAGAGCAGCTTCTCAAATACCAATGTGCATAAGAATCACCTGAGGAATCTTGTAATCCAGATTCTTATTCAGAACATCAGGGGTGGAGCCTGGAGTTCTGCTTTTCCTTTAAGCATCCCAGGTGATGATGCCACTGTCTGTATGACCTTGAATAGCAAGGTCTTCTAAAGAGAATTCATGCCTCTCATCCACATAATGAAAGTGCTCCCTTACAAATCCTTTATCCTCTCTGTACACAATTCCCTTCCCATCTTTCTTTTATTTATTACTCTTTGTTATTGTAGTTCCTGTAGCTTCTTTCATTCTTTTTTTCTTTAATGACAGATTCACAGGTGATGCTAATACTGTTAGTCTGCGAGCATCCTGGGTAGTAAGACTCTAAAATGGCTTTCATTCTAGGCCTTGGTTGCAGAGTGCTTCAGAACAACCCCTTCTTCCTTTCATTTTGTTGTTTAGTTGCTAAATTGTGTCTGACTTTTCTGTGACCTCATGTACTGTAGCCCACCATGCTCCTCTGTCCATGAGATTTGCTAGGCAAGAATACTGGAGCAGGTTGCCATTTCCTCCTCCACGGGATCTTCCCGACCTAGGGATTGAACCCAGGCAAAAAAAAGAAGTCACTCTCTCTCGCAAATATATCCTTGAACTTCTGCTTCTCAACACTCAACTAAAGCATAAGTCAACTCAAAGAAGTTATCACCCACTGGAGTGTTTGGTAAGAGAGAATCTGATCTTTTTTTCCTTAAGGTAAAACTAATCATGATCTGAATCTTATATTAGTACTAAATAGTCCTTCACATGTTGGTATGTCTCTGTAAGTTCTAAGGTGGATTGCAAGTCATATATATCAATGATTTATCTCTTTATTCTTGCTTTTTATTCTTTTAAAAATTGTTTTCTCTTGGCCCTCTTTTGCTCTTCCTCACTCCCTTTTCCTCTCACTGACTTTCTTTTCTTCCTTTCTCTCTTTACTTTTCTTCCCACTCTGGTTTTTTTTTTTGTTGTTGTTGTTGTTGTTAATATTTTTAAGATTTTAAATTCTCAACCCATGCTTAGGATTCCATCCCTGGATAATTTTTTTTTTTTAATGCAACCCCGAGTACTCAAAAAGAGACTCCACCCAAACTGTTTTGGAGCTTCATGATTCCAACAATGAGGTCAGAAATGGGTCTAGGAAAATACATGTGAGTGCATGTTGGAGAAACGAAGAACACAGTCAAGTACAAAAGGAGAAGCTTGAGCACCCTTTTCTAGAAAATACTTGGCTGAGAGCTTTTATCCAGGACTAGAAACTTGTACTTCTTGCCAACTAAGCACTTTTTCTGCAAAACATAAAAAAGATATGTTTTTATGAACTTGGTCATTCGTTTCCTGGACCTTATAATAGTGCTTAATTCCAGTTGGATATAAACAGACTTCTGAGATCCGTCATCTCCTACTCTCCCTGCCCTTGGGCTGGGAAAGCTGCTTTGCTGCAAATTATGTGGAAAAATCTGCAAGCCTAGTACCAAAAGGCAAACGTCCTGGCCCAATCTTGCTCCACTTCTGGGAACCCAGGGACATGGCATAAGTTTGTTGGTTTAGTAACTGTGCCTAAGAGTTAAATCTGTACCATCTCCTTTCCAAGTGCAGTGGAAGGAAGTTCAAGAAGAGCTAGTTCCATAAGGAAAAGGATAGTGGAGATAGTAGATACCTTATTGTTATGGGGGGGAAAAAAAAAGGAATTCACTGCATTCGGTTCATCCAGTGCTAACTAATTCACCAAGAGACCTGAAGATTCATCAGCTGCCCTGTCTGACAGGAGACCAGACTCAACTTCAAAATTAATTCTGGCTAGGATAAGTTATCTAAACTTGCTGCTGCACCTTGATCATCTATCTGTAGAGTGGACACAGTCACCTTAACTAGGAGAGTATTTGTAAAATAACAAAGTGATGCCAAGAACAGAGTCCATACTTTGAAACTGCATTTCTCAACAGGGGGCTTCGAAGATGTTCAATATGTACTAACATCTATCTTTCCTTCTTGAATGAAAAAGGAAAAAAAAGGAGGAGAGGTGAGGGCAGGATCTTCAGTGGATAACCATGAATAAAATTCCTGGCTGTGATGCTAAAAGCATCAAAGTCAGCAGGCTCAAACTCAAATGCCAATAGAAGCCAGGCAAGTAATATTAATAAGCACACAACCCACATGAACAAAGAAAAAGAATACAGTAGATACTGGACAGAGACATTCGAAATGCTTCAAGTACCTGTTTTCATGGTAGAAGACAAATAGCTGCACACCCTCAACAAAAATGGCGTCTTTCCACTCCACTTTGGGTTCTTGGAGCCATGGAAGATGATGAGGACAGGACCCAGCTCGGAAGAGCATGCTCCTTCTCGCAGGGCAACCACCACTCTCCGTTTGACAGTCATCATGCAACACAGAAGGAGAGGCCCAGGGTTGCCAGATCTTAGGACTCCTTGCAAGATGAGTAAGAGGCTTTGTTTATTCCTAAAATATTCCAGTTCGTAAATGTTAGTGGGCCATCAGGGGCTTGTGGACATTAGTTTACAACCTATGTTGCTTCTCCTTTTCAGAGATCTGCCAGCTCAGAAGGGAGCATGTTGACTTGCAGTTTGCCTTTTGTCCACTAAGAGGTAAGAAAACCCTTTCTGAAGTAGAAACTTGGAAAGTCAGAGTGATACATGCCTTTGCTGACTTGAGCTAGGAGCTCTTTTTCATATCTGTTTATATCTGTTAATTATCTTTTATCATTATAAAAGTATATATAATTATAACTGATATAAAGAAATAATCATTTTAAATATACTTGTTTATATCTGTTAATTATCATCATATCCCTAGGAGATGCACACTAACTCCATTTTACAGATAAATAGAAGCTTAGATTAGCAATCATTTGCTCAAGAGCTCACAGTAGCAGCACTCAGGTTTGAAACCAAGTTGTTTCATCCAAGTCTGGTGCCTCTCATGTATTGCAAAGTGGAAAAATAACACTTGTCTGAGTCTAAAGCTTGTTTTCCTTCCACCTTCTCCCTTGATAAATATTAAGCAGTTAGGGAAGCCCAGAAAGAAATTTAGATGACTGGAATGCCAGTTGGTAAATAGCTATTTCAGAGTAGTAATGAATATTTTGAGTCTGGACATACTGCAGGACAGAAATTAAATTCCTCAGTCCTAAAGTTAGATTTTGCTCTACTGTTGTGTATCTTGAATGAGAGATTTTTTAAACAGCAGTGGCAATGTTGAGTCAGTTCTTGCAGTTGTACCCAAATGGAGAAATTTCTATAATACTGTATCTGAGTGGTTACCAGGTAATTATTAGAAACTCCAACTTAATTTGGTTTAAACTATAAAGGGATTTGCTGTCTGTGGAAACAAAAATTCTAGGCTTTGATTGAACTTCTGGCAGTATTTCATCCTGTGGACCAAGAAACCAAAAACCCAGGTTTCCTCTCTGCTTTCTGAAACAGTAGTATTAGTGTTGGTCACTCAGTCATGTCCAACTCTTTGTGGATCCATGGACTGTAGACCTCCAGGCTCCTCTGTACATGGGATTCTCCAGGCCAGAATACTGGAATGGTTAGCCATTCCTTTCTCCAGAGGATCTTCCTGACCCAGGGATCGAACCCAGACCTCATGCATTGCAAGCAGATTCTTTATTATCTAAGCTACAGGGAAGATCTGAAACATTGGTATTCTACAAAGACTGGGTTCCTGCATGTTTTATAGCAGCTGCTAATCAGCATCTTATTTATAGCCAAATAAAGAGGAAATTTCAGTAACTGTCACAAACGCTAGGAACTGCTTTCTCTTGCTTTTTTATCCCCTTTTGGGTAACCCTTGGTCTAAATATAGGATTGCTGGTTGGATTGAGATCATTAGGTCAGGGGAGGTGCCTGGTTTCCCAGTGGTTAGAGATCCATGCTTCCATTGCAGGGGCATGAGTTTAATCCATGGCCAGGGAACTAAGATCTCGCAGCCACGTGGTGTGGCCAAAAAAATAAAAAATCATCAGGGTTGAACCCTGGATTTAGGGTTAGAGTAAGCCCATACAAACTGGATAGCCGCAATAAAATGGGGGAGGGATAAATTTGCCCACAGAAAAGCAGGGTATTTTTGGTAGAAAGAGGAAGAAATGGGTACTGGAAAGCAATGGGCAAATATCTGCTACAAAAAACAATTTGGCTGAAGCCATACAAGAAATATTCATAGTTTTTCATCTAGCACACACACACAAAAGAAAGGCAGATAATTTATTCCTGAGAGGTCTGAATGGAGGAATGGAAGAGCTGGAAAGAATAATTTTTCTGGGAATTCAGCCAGTAGTGGTGGTTGCTGTTGCTCTGAAGAAGGTTTTAGAAGTTGCTGCTGTTTTTATAAAGCCCAACAGTTAAAAATGTTTACATATTAAAAGATTGTGAAAACAAAGAATATGAACCAACATGTTGTCCATAAAGCCCCCAATATTATCTGGTTCTTGACAGGAGAAACCTGCCAACCCCTGGTCCAGTCAGTCCATAAGAGTGAAATTTTACTACCTTCTAAATAATCAAGGCATATAAATAACAAAGTTTAGGGAATCTGGGATCCAAAAAACCAAATTTACAAGAAGCATTATTTTAGAATTAAGACTTTAGTATCTTTCTCAACTGCAAAATAATTCCTTCAAAATCCTAAGTGAAAATAACTTTTATCTATTTAATAGATGAATACCTTGCTTATTTTTCATTTGGTGGTTGCCAGGACTGGGGGAGGGAGGGAGGTGCTTGGAAATAGATAGTAGGAGATTAAAAAGAGACAGACACATTATTGATTCTGCTCACAAGGCCAGCAGTTGTCTGATTCTTACTGACCACATACTGACCAAGTAGTCATGGCATAAAAATGAAATTAGCTCCATGTCTTCCAAAGTTCTAAGTTCTGAGATGTCATGTTCAGTGATGTCATAGAGAAGGTACCCTTATACTCCAGCTAGGATCCTATAATTGGTAAGAGACAGCTACAGTCTGCCAACTGAACCAACAGAAGAGTTTTGTCAGCAATTCCCAGGTGTAAATCATGGTGCAGAATATTAGAGACATGGCAAGTATTTATTTGGCTTCAAGGAGTATTTCAAAAGAGACCATCTTGAGAGCAGATTTGATTAGCTTTAAGAAATATTTCCTCCATCCAGTACTCCTCTGTTGCTCCAAGGCAAGAAGAGTTTGTTTTTTTAAAGCTTTTTCTTTATGCTGTTTCTTGAGGGATGGCATTCTCTGGAGAATAGCCAAGAGCAAAGTTGATCAAAAAGAGTTCTATCCCTTCCTGCTTCTCATTTCTTGATTTTAGTCTAGGGGGATCCAGACCAGCTTGTAACAGATCCCATCCTGTATCTGATCCCACCAATTTTACCTTGCTTATACCCAGAAATTTTTCTGGAAGTAAAATAGTCCACATTTTTCTCTTATCCTAGGAAAGAGAACTCCTAGACATGCCTGTAGGATGGAATGGGGGCATTAATAATTGTTGAGGTGGTATTTCATAAAGCCACTTTCCATCCATTGTCCAGTGATACTGCTGCAACAGATCTCAGTACATGTAAAGGCCAGGGGTAATTATTTATAAAGAAGAAAATTGCCTTTAAAAGAGTAGAGAGGTGAAGCAGGCATTAGCATCCAGACATTCTGATACCCACTCATTTCAGGGGGACCAGGAGCTGGGGGGAAGGGGGACGTGTAGGGCCTGGGTCTTCCCTCCACTAGCACCTTCAGACTTAGACTTTTGACACTTTCCCAAACATGCTTGTGTTTAAGATCACAAATATGAGACCAACCAGATTGAAAGAAGGTATGGCCATTTAACTTTGGCTTAAGAAAATGTTTTAAAAATAGCATACACTTGCTAATGATTTTACTAATTCTTTTCTTTTTTTTTTGGTTTCCTGGGAATCTCATAGAGAAGCCTTCTCCATCTCCTTCTTAGGTACCTACTCTGAGGACCTATTGTTTCCTTTATGCCTTTATTCATATATTACATAGAGGTGGTCCTTGGCCACCTAGACTGTAATTGTAATCCAACTCTCATCCTTCCTTCTTATTTTATTCTTCTCCTTTTTTTCTTTGGGCTTCTCTGGTAGCTCAGCTGGTAAAGAATCCGCCTGCAATGTGGGAGACCTGGCTTTGATCCCTGGGTTGGGAAAGATCCCCTGGAGAAGGGAATGGCTACCCACTCCAGTATTCTGGCCTGGAGAATTCCGCTGTATAGTCCATGGGGTCGCAAAGAGTTGGACACAACTGAGCTACTTTCACTTTTTTTCTTTATTAGCAGTGATCATAAATTTACTATCTATTTCACTTATCTTACCATTGACTTTCCCCTAAATGCAGACTTCATGAAGGGAGGGGGTGTAATGTTTTGTCTTTTTGTCCATGCTGTATCCTAGCAGTGTGTCCAGTACCCAGCACAGAGTAGGCCTTAATTGGTACATGTGGGATCACTCTGTACCATGGGAATATTACCTACAGAGAACTTAGCCAAGTCGATTCATGGGACCAACTAGGTCAGTTTCTACCCTAACAACTACTGGGAAGTGAACAATTGGGGCGTTCTGAGAATGACATCTAACTTACAACTTCAGAAGCAAGTGAGAAGTGGAGGTGTCGTGGCTCTCTGAAAAGTCAATCGCCTCTCTCTTGGAGGCATATTATTAAAGGGAGAATGTGTCTTGAGTCATCAGTTTCACTTCCTGGAAGTAAATCAAATGACAGTGTAATTGTCAGGATCCCCCTGTTATAGAGTGTCTTCCATCTGGATGGAATAAATCCCATCCCTATTTCCAGTGATAGGCCCCAATTGATTTAACTCAATTACTGATCCCATCCCTCCATCTTAATCAGTGGTCCAGGGATGAATAAATGATGGCATTTGGGCTAGAGAGAGAGAGAGAGAAAGAACCATTACCATAAGGAACTCAGGAGGCAATTTTCTATAGTGGTTAAGGAAATGGACCTTGGAGTCAAACTAGTAAGGTTAGTAATCCCAACTATGACATTCACCAGCTGGTTGACCATGAGAAAGTTTAAAAATGTTATTTTATGCATCTGTGAAATGGGGATAATAATAATAATACTGCATAGGGTGGTTGTAAAGGTTAAGAATGAGAATACCAGCCACAGAGTAAATTAGGTACTATTATTGCAATTCCAGTGAGAAAAGGAAAAATAAATCCTGAGCAGAACACTATGTATTAGCAGATTATTCATTTAGTCAACTAAATGCTCCCTGAGTACTTACCATGTACCAGTTAGGGGCCATGAAGGCACTGAAGTGAATCAAGATTGGGTTCTGTAGGGGACTTGTTGGAAAGACAAGTTGTGAATGAAATAATTAGTGTAGGATATTGTTCACAAAGCAATCAAGCATAGATACCATGACATGAGGTCCCAGAAGGAAAATCTTACTTTATTTAGATGATACAGATAGCTGATAGAAAATTCACTTAAGACATTCAGCAAGAAGCATGTCTAATCCTTAAATGTATGGTTTTAACTATAGCTTTAATAATGATCAGCACCCCCCTCCAAAAGAAGAAGAAATGGTTAAAGGTGCTAAATTAGCTCTCTATTTAGATTTCTCTGTTAATGCATGTTTAGGTCCTTGTTTAAAAAAATTAGATGTAGATGTCCACCTTGAACATCCATTCATCAGTCTGTTGCCAGAAGTATCTAGCCATTATCAACATCATTACCAACCCATCTGGTAAATAGAATCCTAAAGCTTTTGTGGGGTGGCAAAGAGTTGGACACGACTGAGTGACTGAACTGAACTGAAAGTTTTTGTGTGGGTTTTTCATCATTTATGTATACTTAGGAAGATAAATATATATATCACCTCAGGGACATTTAGGAAAGATCGGGTCCCCTGGAGAACAGTGGGGTGGGGCACCATAACTATGCTATCATTTTATGCCTTGCATGACTATATGAGATTCAGTAACTGTACACATTTCCTCATTTATGTTCTGATCTCAGGATGAATTAAAAGCGTTTTTGAAAGCTGCTGGAAACAAACTTGTGGTAATTGAATTCTCAGCAAAATGGTGTGGTCCTTGCAAAAGGATTTATCCGGTTTTTCATGTAAGTATCATCAGTGTCGATTTCACAGTTTTTTAGAAGGAATTTAAAGTCCTCGAACAGTTTTCCCAATAAATCTTAAAAGTTTGGTAGTTATGAGCCATTATGGGGTGATAGTTTTTCCCCCACTTAGTGCCTACTTCTTTATTACTATTGTTATTTTAATTTTTAAAATTTTATTGATGTATACTTGGTTTACAATGTTGTGTTAGTTTCAAGCATATAGCACAGTGATTCAGTTAGATAGATAGATAGATGGATAGATAGATAGGGATATAGAGATAGAGATAGTTTTTTCAGATTCTTTTTGCTTATAAGTTATTGTAAAATAATGAATATAGTTCCTGGGTCCTTGTTGGTTATCTGTTTTATGTATATCAGTGTGTATGTGTTAATCCCAATAAATAATCCCAACACAAACTTCCTATTTTATCCCTCCCCCTCCTTTCTCTGTTAGTAAGCATAAATTTGTTTTAAAATACTTGTACTACCCAAGGCAATCTACAGATTCAGTGCAGTCCTCATCAAATTGCCAATGGCTTTCTTCACAGAGATAGAACAAACATTTTTTAAATTTGCATGGAAACAAAAAAAGAAAATAGCAATCTTGAGAAAGAAAATTGGAGTTGGAGGAATCAGGCTCCCTGACTTCAGACTATCCTACAAAGCTACAGTAATCAAAACAGCATGGTACTGTCACAAAAGCAAACATGTAGATCAATGGGACAGGATAGAAAGCCCAGAAATAAACCCACATACCTATGATCAATTTATCAAGATCAGTTTATTAAGAGGCAAGACTATACAATGGAGAAGAGACTATACAGTCTCTTCAGTAAGTGGTGCTCAGAAAACTGGACAGCTAGATGTAAAAGAGTGAAATTATAGCATTCACTAGCACCATATAAAATCAAAATGGATTAAAGATCTAAATGTTAAACAAGATACCATAAAGGAAAATATAGGCAGAACACTCTTTCATGTAAATTTTAGCAGTATCTTTTGGGATCCATTTTCTAAAATAATGGAAATAAAAACAAAAATAAAAAATGGGACCTAATTACACTTAAAATCTTCTGCATGGAATCATAGTTTTTTTGGAAGCATCCTGCTTAACCTGCAGATAATTTAGAGATCTAATTAGATCATTAGTACACACACCAGATTCATACTGTTTGTTTGTGGCTAATTCAACAAGGATCATCAAAATGTGCAAAAGAGTACAACTGTATAAAGGAATGGATTATTCATAATAATGACATTTTACCAAACTTCTAGAGTTCAGAACTTCCAAATATTGGAATAGATTACAGATGAACATGGTATTTTTTTAAACTATAATAAAAAGAATAAACTACCCCCAATCCTTCAATCCTGTTATCAGAAGAAATCCTATGTCTTACTTATTCCTTTCATATCTGAGCTCCTTTATAAAATTTCTTTGTAAAATATTCCACTTAATGGTAATCATATATTTATATTCAGGTCTTTTTCCATATACGCATTGGTTTATGTTTTTATCAACTCTCCAGATTATAATTTTCATGTCTATACAGTGTTTCATCTAGTTAATTTTCCTATCACCCCATTTAACTGTTTACACCATTTGGTGGGGGAGTGTACAACATGCTGCAGAAAGAAACTCAGGACATTTTCTTTTCATTTCTCCTTACTGCACAAAAGTTTCACATTTACAGTCCATTTTGTGCAATTCCTACTTCAGTTATAAAGTTCAGATTTCTCTACACAGCTGAAAATATATTATTATTCAGCAGGGTTTCTAACATTTTAATTTTTGATTTAAACTCTTAAATCTACTTGAATTCATTCTAACCAGTCATAAACTTTGATATTTAAAAGAAACATATTCAAATAAAGAAATTGGCTACATGACATCAGTTCAGTCACTCAGTCGTGTCCGACTCTTTGTGACCCCATGGGCTGCAGCCACCAGGTCTCCCTGTCCATCACCAAATCCTGGAGCTTACTCAAACTCATGTCCATCAAGTCAGTGATGCCATCCTACCATCTCATCTGCTGTCGTCCCCTCCTCCCTCCACCTTCAATCTTTCCAGCATCAGGGTCTTTTCCAATGAATCAGTTCTTTGCATAAGGTAGCCAAATTATTGGAGTTTCAGCTTCAACATCAGCCCTTCCAATGAATATTCAGGGCTGATTTCCTTTAGGATGGGCTGGTTGGATCTCCTTTCAGTCCAAGGGACTCTCAAGAGTCTTCTCCAACACCTCAGTTCAAAAGCATCAGTTCTTCAGTACTCAGCTTTCTTTATAGTCCAACTTTCACATCCATACATGACTACTGGAAAAACCATAGCTTTGACTAGATGGACCTTTGTTGACAAAGTAATGTCTCTGCTTTTTAATATGCTGCCTAGGTTGGTCATAACTTTTCTTCCAGGTAGCAAGTGTCTTAATTTCATGGCTGCAGTCACCATCTGCAGTGATTTTGGAGCCCAGGAAAATAAAGTCAGCCACTGTTTCCATTGTTTCCCCTTCTGTTTGCTGAAGTGATGGGACCAGATGCCATGGTCTTAGTTTTCTGAATGTTGAGCTTTAAGCCAACTTTTGCACTCTCCTCTTTCACTTTCATCAGGAGGCTCTTTAGTTCTTTTGCTTTCTTCCATAAGGGTGGTGTCATCTGCATATCTGAGGTTATTGATATTTCTCCCAGCAATCTTGATTCCAGCTTGTGCTTCATCCAGCCTGGCATTTAGCATGCTGTACTCTGCATATAAGTTAAATAAACAGAGTGACAATATACAGCCTTGACGTACTCCTTTCCCAATTTGGAACCAGTCTGTTGTTCCATGTCTGGTTTTAACTGTTGCTTCTTGACCTGCATACAGGTTTCTTGGGAGGCAGGTCAGGTGGTCTGGTATTCCCATCTCTAAAAATTTTCCACAGTTTGTTATGATCCACACAGTCAAAGGCTTTGGCATAGTCAATAAAGCAAAAGTAGATGTTTTTCTGGAACTCTCTTTGCTTTTTTGATGATCCAGTGAATGTTGGCAGTTTGATATCTGGTTCTTCTGCCTTTTCTAAATCAGGCTTGAACATCTGGAAGTTCACAGTTCACATATCAGCATCTATTCTGTGCCTAAAATTATTGGAATATCCACAGTGAATATTTTAATATCTGGCAGGCCTCTCTATTCAGACACTCTCTATTTACTTAAAAGTTAAGTGTCTCCAATGTTTAGCTTTAGGAGTATAAATATCCTCACCTGCCACAAAGTCAAAGCTGATCAAATTTCATTGGCCAACAAGGCATTTTAGGCTCAGGCTTAGTAACCCCTTCTTCCCTTCATACCTTCAGGCCCCAAGGATGGTAAAGTCTCTGCCATTGTTGTGTCCAGGTTCTCACAGCTCCTCCACACCCATCCTTAACTTTACAGTTATTTATAGTTAATCCATTGGTGATAAATCTCCCTAAATTATCCTAACTTGAATGTGCTGTTTTCTGTTGGAATCCAGACTAATGCACACACAGTTTTTTGTTGTTGTTTTTTTTAATTTGGGTGTATCCACACTCTGAAATACTATTCAGATGATAAAGAGAGTCAAGTAGACCCATACATAATGATGGAATTCTCTCCAAGACAGCATAGAATTAAGTAAAAAGAGGACAATATAGGAAATTTTATGGACTATAGTACCATTTATGTAAAGCAGAGATAAATATACATATATATAATAAAGATTTCACCTGCAATATGGAAGACCTGGGTTCGATCCCTGGGTTGGGAAGATCCCGTGGAGGAGGGCACAGCAAACCGCTCTCGTATTCTTGCCTGGAGAATCCCCATGGACAGAGAAGCCTGGCAAGCTACAGTCCATGGGGTCATGAATGAGTGACTAAGCATGCAGCATGTATCTGTGTATGTATATATCAGTATATGTGTAGACAAAGAGGAGAAGAAGATGCATAGCAAATGATTTTTTTTTTCCGGGAAAAGGAAGGAAAAATGGGAGTAGGATTGAGAATAGGGAAATTTCATATTTTTCTTTATTTTTCTTGTGATGTTTGAACTTTTACAAGAGAATGTATTTATGTATTCTCTGTCATTTTTTTAAAACCCACAGTATATAATGGATTTGGAGGAAAGGCTATTATTACTCTAGGGCACTTTATCAGTCAGAGTCAAAAACAGGAAACAGGAACCAAATTAGACAGAAAGAAAACTTTAATACAAGGAATTAAATGCTCATAAAATCATCAGAAGGCTGGATGAATGGGCTCCAGACTGGAGCCCCAAGAATGACTCAAGAGCACCACAGACCCATTTGAGGGGATCCTAAATTTGCCATAATGAGATATGAGAAGAGATGAGAGGCCACTACTGGGAGAAAAAAAAAAAAACAACAGCAACAACAGAGAAATAGCAGTTGGGGAGTCAGAAACAGAATCTGGAAGCTGAAGCTGGGGCACTGGATCCCTTAGTATAGCTGCTGCTACCTCCAGCACAAAAACACTCATGATCTTGCTTTCCAGCAGGAACATCCAAGACAAAAAGAAAGTAGCTCTGTTTCACTTCTGCCTTCCCAGTCTTACCTGTATGCGTCTCATTGGTGAAACCAATTTGCATCCAGAACTTTAGCTGCAAGGGAATCCGAGGAATCTCTCCCTTTCCCCTCTTCCAGGCTCTGCAGGAAGGTGGAATGGAAGTGAGCTGACTACACCATTACTCTAGGTGGGGAAGAATCCAAGATATTTTCAAACACACAAAAACAGAAAGTTGACCACCCCGAGTCTCTACTAAAGGATGTCTGGTAATAAGAAAAAAGTAAATCACAACCAAAAGTGGTTTTTAAGAAGTGATTTAAAGCTTTTAAGTCTTAAGTGAGTTCCACGGTCCCATTTGATCTGGGCCTTGAGGACTGAAAGCAAGGGCCAGCAACCTTTTCTGTAGAGGTTAAAGATAGTCAATATTTTCAGGTTTATAAGCTATGTGGTCTATATTATATATACTCAGCTTTGATGTTGTAGCACAAAAGCAGGCAATGGCAATATGCAAATAAATGGGCAAACGTGTTCCACTAAAATTTTATTTATGAGACCATGTGGAGTCCTGGATTTGGAGTATAGAGTGAAGATTGCTGACTCTGGGCTAAGAGAATCACCAGGCATAGATTCCCAAAAAGAGCATTTTTGAAAAAAGGGGGATTATAAATTTGTTGAGAAATTACGTGGTGTGATCATGAGAAGGCAAGTACTCTGTGAGGCTAGCTTTCAGTTTATACAGTGGAAGTGGCAACCCGCGAGCCTTCAAAAGGAAGCTGAGCCCAGAGGGAAAAGACCCTTGTGTTATAGCTTAATGAGTTGCTGTATTTTGGCAGTTTGTCTAAGAATGGGTTGAAAGGTCTGAGGCAGGTTTAACAACAATGTCAGTGATGGGTTTACCAGAACTAGGGTGGTGGTTTGGGGAGAAAAAGGAAAGATCAAATTCAGGAGACAATTTAGAGAACTCATGATCTTGCTTTCCAGCAGGAACATCCAAGACAAAAAGAAAGTAGCTCTGTTTCACTTCTGCCTTCCCAGTCTTACCTGTATGCGTCTCATTGGTGAAACCAATTTGCATCCAGAACTTTAGCTGCAAGGGAATCCGAGGAATCTCTCCCTTTCCCCTCTTCCAGGCTCTGCAGGAAGGTGGAATGGAAGTGAGCTGACTACACCATTACTCTAGGTGGGGAAGAATCCAAGATATTTTCAAATACACAAAAACAGAAAGTTGACCACCCCGAGTCTCTACTAAAGGATGTCTGGTAATAAGAAAAAAGTAAATCACAACCAAAAGTGGTTTTTAAGAAGTGATTTAAAGCTTTTAAGTCTTAAGTGAGTTCCACGGTCCCATTTGATCTGGGCCTTGAGGACTGAAAGCAAGGGCCAGCAACCTTTTCTGTAGAGGTTAAAGATAGTCAATATTTTCAGGTTTATAAGCTATGTGGTCTATATTATATATACTCAGCTTTGATGTTGTAGCACAAAAGCAGGCAATGGCAATATGCAAATAAATGGGCAAACGTGTTCCACTAAAATTTTATTTATGAGACCATGTGGAGTCCTGGATTTGGAGTATAGAGTGAAGATTGCTGACTCTGGGCTAAGAGAATCACCAGGCATAGATTCCCAAAAAGAGCATTTTTGAAAAAAGGGGGATTATAAATTTGTTGAGAAATTACGTGGTGTGATCATGAGAAGGCAAGTACTCTGTGAGGCTAGCTTTCAGTTTATACAGTGGAAGTGGCAACCCGCGAGCCTTCAAAAGGAAGCTGAGCCCAGAGGGAAAAGACCCTTGTGTTATAGCTTAATGACTTGCTGTATTTTGGCAGTTTGTCTAAGAATGGGTTGAAAGGTCTGAGGCAGGTTTAACAACAATGTCAGTGATGGGTTTACCAGAACTAGGGTGGTGGTTTGGGGAGAAAAAGGAAAGATCAAATTCAGGAGACAATTTAGAGACAATTTAGAGTTAAGACCAGGAGAATAGGTGACTCGATGATAACAGGTTGTATGGGAGGAAGAAGAGCAGAAGGAGGAGTGTTTGTTGAGGACAGGATGGTCCTTTGTGGACGGTATGGAATAGAGAGGGAAGGAAGTGTTCATAAGGGACACCTGTCAGCCTAGCAAGGAACCCACAACTGTGCCAGGTCTTCTGGCTACTACTCAATACAAAAATGACAATTTCTATAACCCTATCCATTTCCTCTCAGACTTGGGAGACTCTGAAAACTTCATCAATAGAACCTGACTCTGGAATCAGATGTCCATATCTGTCAAATCCATTTCCCTGCCTGACTGCTACCAGGGAACATCCATATATCTTAAACTTGAAAAGTACAAGTCAGTTTCCCCAGAGTTCCTGGGGTCCCATCTTCCTGCCAGGCATGGGGTTGCTGCCAATCAAAACCAGCATCTTTTTTTTTAATCTGAAAAGTACTGTAAAATACCAAAGGCCTTCATGTTTATTTTCCAAGAGTTTTCCCCCAATTTCCCCATCTTGATGAACCACTGAAGAAAGAACTCCCACTTAGGGCACATTCCATGGACATACAAGTGGAGAGAATCCCTTCAACAGAGCTCTGCCCCTGCTGTCCACCTAATCAGTTCATGTCATGCTGCTTCCTGCCTGTCCATGGGAGCAGCCCCCAGTGACAGCTTCATTTGTTGTTGCCTCCACTTGGCCATGCTCCAGACACCTCACACCACCGTGGAAGAGCGGTTTCATCTGAAACAGGTCGGTGGGAATGCTTGAGATATGATGTTAATGCAAACAAATCAATATGCCATTAAGTACCTTTAAAGAATAAGCACAGCTGTCTGGAAAAAAAGAATATCTCAGGAGCTGATATTTACAGGCTACTTCTGCATCCATTACCGTACACCCGTTATACCACCACCATTATCTCCACCACTGTCAAAGATGCTTCCAGAACGTCTGGAACAGAAGCAGAGAAGAATTGTTTTTCGCTGTTCCCACTTTCCATTTTCCTGCAAATGCTTCCCATTGTCAGAACCTAACAGGAAGACAACGGGCAGAGTATTTTGGGAAATCTAGTTTTGATACATAACACAGACGTTAGACTCTGGTTCTGCCATTGATCTTTACTTGACTTTGACAACACCCAGCCCTTGACTTCTGTCCTTAAGATTCTAGGCAGTAGTGCCAGGATGATGCTTAGCTCTCTTTCTCAGCCCTTTTGTTTGGTTCTTGCTTTTGCTAAAAGACACTGCTAGGGTGTGATTTAATCTTAACATTAAGCTAATGGGAAATTTTTATTCTTTTGAAGGCAATGTCTGTGCAATACCGAAGCGTCATGTTTGCTACTGTGGATGTGGACAATGCTCGGGTAAGAATCTTAAATCCCTCCTTGTAGATTCATAAAACCCAGTGTGATGTTGAGATGCTGTCTCAGTGATTATACAAGCACTTTAAAGTGTAATGAACTGTAGTAAATGCCCTCAGAGGTTCTTGTCTGTTTTGTATTCTTTTAAAGACAATAAATATGTGACTCTCCTGCTATGTGCCCCCCTCCCATACTATGGTAGAATTCACTGATCAGTCCAGTGTTGTTCATCAGTGGCTCTTGACTCTGCCCCAACAGAGTTGCTTTAGACAGACAATACCAGTTGGTTAGGGTTGGGCTCAAAGTGAAAAGTTATTTTCGCCCCTGTTGTTGTTGTTCTTCAGTTGCTAAGCTGTGTCTGACTCTTTGTGACCCCATGGACTGCGGCATACCAGACTCCTCTATCCTTCATTATCTCCTGGAGTTTGCTCAAATTCGTGTCCATTGAGTTGATGAGGCTATCTAACCATCTCATGCTCTGCTGCCCTCTTCTCCTTTTGCCTTCAATCTTTCTGAGCATCAGGGTATTTTCCAATGAATCTGCTCTTTGCATTAGGTGGCCAAAGTATTAGAGCTTCAGCATCAGCCTTTCTGATGAATATTGGAAGGGTTGATTTCTTTTAGGATTGACTGGTTTGATCTCCCTGCTATACAAGAGACTCAAGAGTCTTCTCTACCCCCACAATTTGAAAGCTTCCATTCTTCAGTGTTCAGCCTTCCTTATGGAAACCATGTGTGGTTAGTTGCTCAGTCATGTCTGACTCTTTGCGGCTCCATGGACTGTAGCCTACTAGGCTCCTCTGTCCATGGAGATTCTCAAGGCAAGAATGCTGGAGTAGGTTGCCATGCCCTCCTCCAGGCAATCTTTCCAAGCCAGGGATTGAACCCAGGTCTCCTGCACTGCAGGCAGATTCTCTACCATCTGATCCACCAGGGAAGCCCAAGAATACTGGAGTGGGTAGCCTATCACTTCTCTAGGGGAAACTTCCTAACCCAGGAATCGAACCACGGTCTCCTGCATTGCAGGAGGATTCTTTACAAGCTGAGCTACCCGGGAAGCCCAGGCCTTTGTCAGTAAAGTGATGCTTCTCTTTTTAATATGCTGTCTAGGTTTGTCATAGCTTTCCTTCCAAGGAGGAAGCATCTTTTCATTTTACCCCTGTGATAGATTATTAATAAATTTCTAAAATTCAATTCTGTTCATTGCAGACATTTTTATGTACCTTTCTTTCCCCTTTCTGTAGCTTATGCTTTTTGTGGAGTTTTGTTTGTGTGTGTGTGTGGAGTTTTTTAAGAGTCACAGGGAATTCCAGGAAACCTTTCCCTTTTTTCTCTAGAGTCTTTATTCCTCACCCCAACACCCCCCCCCAAATAATCAGCCTCATGTTTTCAATCAACATGTGCTTATTAATACATACAAGGTGTCTAAAAATTTATTCTTCCTAGTACTTGTTCTTTTAAAAGTCCAAGGGAAAAGAGCAGTAATAAGTGACCTGTGCATACATTGGATTGAATTTGAGCTTTATAATTAAAAAATCAATTATTTACCCATTCTGCCCTCTGCCTAGTTTTTATCTGTTAACCTGTATAAATGTTGATTCCTCTATATGTAAAACAAAGTAATAATATTTAACAGAATATGAAAAAATAGAAGACACAAAATATATGGCATTATACCCAGAATGTAATAAAAGTTTCATTTTTCTATTTCCCTCAAAGTGTGACAGTGTTTAATTGTCCTTTAAGCTGAATCATGTACCGTGCACTCAGAATAAACAGCTAGGATTATTACCTGTCAGATATTCAAAGATTTGTGCAGCTATCAGTACAATCAATTTTAGAAGGTATTTGCAACTCCAAAAAGAAATACTGTCCCCTAGTAGTCATCCCCCCTAGTTCCCTCTATCCACCACCTCAACCCTAGATAACTGCTAGCCTAGCTTGTCTGTAGACTTGCTTATTCTGGTCATTTCATATAAATGGAATTATAGAAAACATGGTCTTTTGTGACTGGCTTCTTTCACTTAACATAAGTTTGCAAGATTCATCCGTGATGTAGCATGTATCAGTCCCCCATTCCCTTTTATTGCTTAATAATTTACTACCTCTTTTTTTATCCATTCATTCTTTGATGGACATTTGGTTTGTTTCCAACTTCTGGGTATTATGACTAATACTGAAATAAACATTTAAGCATATATTTTCATTTCTCTTGGCTATATATCTAGGGTAGTGGGGTTATTGGGTCATATGATAACTCTATATCAAACTTACTGAGGAACCAACAAATTATCACACAAAGTGCTGCACCACTTTACATTCCCGCCAGCAATGTAAGAGGTTTCTTATTTCTCTATATCCTCAGCAGCATTAGTTACTGTTTTACTCTTTGATATAGCTCTTTGTCTCTTAAGGTGAAACAAAATGCACAGTTTTCTTTTCTAGTAATGTATTTATTGTTGTCATTACTGTGGTCATGAAAATTATAATTTAGTGTGTGTTGGGAGTAGGGGTGGGCAGCAGGGAAAAGATTTGTTTTGATCCTGTGGGCAACCATGAAATTAAAAGACACTTGTTCCTTGGAAGAAAATTTATGACCAACCTAGACAGTATATTAAAAAGCAGAGACGTTACTTTGCTAACAAAGGTCCATCTAGTCAAAGCCATGGTTTTTCCAGTAGTCATTTATAGATGTGAAAGTTGGACTATAAAGAAAGCTGCTGCTACTGCTGCTAAGTCACTTCAGTTGTGTCCGATTCTGTGCAACCCCATAGACGGCAGCCCACCAAGCTCCTCTGTCCCTGGGATTCTCCTGGAAAGAATACTGGGGTGGGTAAAGAAAGCTGAGTGCCAAAGAATTGATGCTTTTGAACTGTGGTGTTGGAGAAGACTCTAGAGAGTCCCTTGGACTGCAAACAGATCCAACCAGTCCATCCTAAAGGAAATCAGTCCTGAATAGTCATTGGAAGGACTGATGCTGAAACTGAAACTCCAATACTTTGGCTACCTTATGCGAAGAACTGACTCATTGGAAAAGACCCTGATGCTGGGAAAGATTGAAGGCAGGAGGAGAAGGGGACGACAGAGGATGAGATGGTTGGATGGCATCACCGACTCAATGGACATGAGTTTGAGTAAACTCCGGGAGTTGGCAATGGACAGGGAGACCTGCTGTGCTGCAGTCCATGGGGTCGCAAAGAGTTGGACATGACTGAGCGACTGAACTGAACTGTGGGTGGCTAATTTTCACTTGACTCTTAAACAAGATAAACAAAAATGTGATACTTGAAATCAGATTGTAATGGATTAGAACAGTTGGGATTCTGATATATTGTCTTATCTCATGGCTACAAAATCTTTTGCAGAAATGGGCAGTGAAAAGGTGTAAGGCATATAAGAAAGAAACACATAAGCCTTACTTAAAATGCATGATATACCACTACATGTCTAAGTGTGAGTTGTAAAGAGACCTTTATTCATTCTTATTTTTTTGCAGTATGCTGTTTCCATATTGGGTTCTGCTGGGGCCTTCTGCAGTCTTTCACAAGCTCTTTTAAATAGAGCTCATTTCGGCCTTCAGTCCATGCTGAAAACAGTCACTTTATGTTTTAACATTCCTGGAGGCTTTGAGGATATGTTAGGAAAGTTCTTGGCAAGAGAATCTGTAAAGTATCAGCTATCCCTGGGCTCTCAGACATGCCTCCTGAGACATCACCAAGTACCATTCTTGGTCCAAAAAGAGGATACAGAAATAATTACTTCATTCCACTTCTTTTCTAGGAGTTGGCCCAAACTTACCATATCAAAGCAGTACCCACATTTCAGATGTTCAAGCAAACCAAGAAGGTATGTTTCTATTGTAACTGGCAGGTTGAAATAGATTATAAAGCCATCAGAGTCTACAAAAGGCCTGAGGTATCCTGGATGGATGAAACAACTGTACTTATTTTTATAGCAATGCAGTTCTTAGTTTCTGAACTTACAAGGAGTTAAAAAAAAGGGTGAACTGTGAGAAATCTCCCATTCAGACCATTTGAAGTGTCCAAATCTATATGAAATACCCCACTCTTATTTCTCTCTGGGGACATGACCATTAAAAAATAATCTTACAAGAAAAGACATGATGAAATTCTTGCACAAATGTATATGCATTTTTAAGAACATTTGAGTGAATGTCCGTCAAAAGCAGTCACAAGGTAATATGGCCTACTGGTATACCAGGCAGGGCCTGGTCAGATTTCTGTGGTTCAAAAGTCAGTTCTTCCATTTCCTAGCAGTTTACTTAATATGCTCTTGGTATCTTAGTTTCCCTATCTGTAAAAACATCAATCATAACAAGTTTCCCCTTCCCTTGTCGGATTGTTTTGAAAATGAAATCAATTAACACAACTAAACTTTTAGACCCATCCTGACACACAAATATGTTATGTTAGTTGTTATCTTGAAGATATTAATAGAATGAAGTGTCTCAAATACTTTGTGTGATGAAACTAGTAATAATGTATATGACTGGGAGCACGGACACCTGTGTGAACCTTATGAAAGGTGATTTTGCAACACACTTAAGAGGAATAAACTATTCATTCCCTTTCATACACTACCCCATTTTGGAGAACTTTTGCTGATGAAAATTCCTCATGGAAAAATAAACATCTAAGTGCCTGGTAATTGTAGCATTATTTCTAACAAAATATGGAAGCAGTGTAAATGACTTTTTTCTAGTAAAGTGGCTAAGTAATTTATGATACATCTTGTCTATGTGTGTGCTAAGTTGCTTCAGTCATGTCTGATTCTTTGCGGCCCTGTAGAGTGTAGTCTGCCAGGCTCCTCCGTCCATGGGATTCTCCAGGCAAGAAACTGGAGTGGGTTGCCATGCGCTTCTCCAGGGGATCTTCCTGACCCAGGGATCAAACACACATCTCTAACGTCTCCTGCATTGGCAGGCGGGTTCTTCACCACCACCACCACCACCTGGGAAGCCCATCTAGTCTATGAAAGAGTATACAACTAAAAAGAGTTATGAACAGAAAAGAAGAGACTCACAGATATAGAACACAAATTAGTGGTTACGGGCAGGAGTGCAAATAGGGATAGGGGAGTGGGAGGTACAAACTATTGGGTGTGACGGGCTCAAGGATGTATTGTACAACATGGGGAATATGGCCAGTTTTTTGTAATAACTATAAATGGAAAGTAACCTTTCAAAATTATAAAAATGTTTTAGAATTTTTAAAATGAGTTAAAAAGATTCAATAAAATAAAAAGTCATGAGGAATATACATAAAGTAAAAAAAAAAATTCGTACTTTACTCTTTTAAAGATTATGTCTACAGTATAAAGAATCAGAGCATTTGAGATGCTAGCTGTAGAATTTTATTTTCAATTTCTGCTTGTTCATATGTGCTTGCTGTAACATAATTGAGGCAATAGATTTAAGTAATTCTTCCCCCAAAAGATAACACTACCTGTTTCCTCTCTTGAGTTTTTACTTGAAAACTGAAATAGTTTAACACATGCCTTCTCAACTCCGCGTACCTACATTATCAAATTGTGTGTGCATCTTTTATTCTCTTCTCTTCTCTTCCATCTCAGAAATGAAGATGCTTCCTCCTTTGAAGTCAGTTCCATCTGTCTCTTGACCACATCCCTCCCGTCTGTGTTATCCTATTTCAAACCTGGTCATTGTACTCTTACTGTTTTTTGGTACCCAGCTACCATTCTCCATTCCCTTTTAGCAGTTCTCTGATTTTCCTCCAGGAAACCACGCCCTTTCTGGTCCTTAGTCCATGTACTTCCTTAGGGGTCCATCTCCAGGTGTAGACCGATCAGTGAACTCCATCACCATCAGGAATGGGCCCTTCACTCCAGTCAAGCCAATCCAAACCCAACCAGAGCTAATTCCAGGATTTTGCTTAAGCAGCTTGGTAAATGTCTCTTACTTTGATTGCACTGAATTTGAACTTGGAAAGATATAGTGCTAAAGCTCTTTTAGCTGGCTTGCCACCACAGGGAACCTAAAAATGAAGCTACCATAGAGAGGAAAGCAGAATCAGGCCAAGAAGTGCCCATGGCATTGATGGAACCCTGAATCTATGTATGTCTGAAGCCTGAACTACCCCCATAAATTCTTCAGTTACATAAACTTTGGGTTGCTTTTTCTGTCATTTGCAACCAAAACATTTCTAATGAAAATATCTGTTCTCTCAGACTATTCTTTTTTATTCATAATCTAACTCTTAAAAGAATTAGATGTATTCACTGCTTCCAATTCTCATTTTCCACTCATTCTCTCATCTATGATCATCTTGCACCTAATTTAAATTACCATTTCTCAAACCTAGTATCCCTTGCTTACACCAAATTGCATTAACTGGTCAGCTTCTATACCCTGGAAGCTTCCTCCTCTTTTGGCTTTGACCCCTGATTCCTCCCCAGGTTTTCCTCTGGCTTCTTTATCTCCAGCTGTTCTCACATGTAAGTGTTTTCCAAGGCTCTATCTTTTTTCCATTCTACCTCTCTCCATTAATAATTTCATCCCCCAATTCTAGTTCTAGCTATAAATACCTCTCACTTAAACAATAGCCTCAGGTTCACACCAAAGCTCTTGTTTTCTTTTCCAAATAATTCCTTGCTCCATGTATGCCATCCTCTTATTTAAATTTTTATACCTCTCCTCTGCCGTTACCTATAGAATCAAGACTAGATCCTTGTATTCCAGTATGACTTGAATTTCTCCATGATTTTAACCCAGTCTATGTTCCCAAACCCATTTTTTTGTGTGACTCAGATCTTAACTTTGTACATTATTCTCATTCTCTTCCAAGTACTTGGAGATGTTCATGTCTGATTTGAAACCCCAGTGCCTAGGGGCATCTCCCCTCAATAGAAAACACACACTTTGTGTTTGATGGTGACTCAGTTGGTAAAGAATCCACCTGCAATGCAGGAGACCCACGTTTGATCCCTGGGTTGGGAAGATCCCCTGGAGAAGGAAATGGTAACTCACTCCAGTATTCTTGCCTGGGAAATCCCATGGAAAGAAGAGCCTAGCGGGCTACAGTCCATAGGGTCACAAGAGTTGGACACTACTTAGTAACTAAACCATCACCAATGAGTGAACAAATGAATGAATGGGTGAACAAGTGAATCTTGCTGTCTTTCCCCTGCACGCCCCCCACCAGCTTTGTCTCCCTTCCTGATTTTATCCTTGTATTAATCAGACTCAGAGAAACTTTCTCGCCAGCTCAGAACAGCTTTCTGGTTTCCTTCTTTTTACAGATTATATTGCTTGATGGCTGCTGCTACTCAACAGTTTGTTCTCTGCTTTACAAAAATAAAACTTTGGATTCTCAGTTGATTCTGTATCTAGGCTCTGGAACAAATCCATAGCCATGCTTTTGAGGACAGACTTGGTCCTGTTTGGTTTCGATTCTATCTGGAGGTAGAAGAGCCCTGCCCTAGGGGTGGAGCAACCTCTTATCATCAAGTATTTCTTAACTGGTGTCTGCAGGGTACGGATCCCTTTTGAATTAATGGAACAAGATACCTGTATTCTAGGGATCACTAAGGAACTTAGATTTGAATTTTATGCCGATTAGCTAATGGAAAATAAAGTCAACTGAACTGATGACCCTGTCCATTAAGCTGATCTGCCTCCCTGTATTCTAAGTGCAGAGTCATCCAGCAAGCCTTTGATTATCACATGGGTATCTATCTCCCAAGAAATTTTCTTGAGACTAGAATTTCTTGTTGAATAGCACTAAATTAGCATGCTAGTTATGGAGTTGTTTTTTAAAACTTGGTATGTTTATGTCATGATATCAAATGTTCAGATGCTAAGTCATCTTTGCAACCTCATAAATTGCAGCATGCATTTGGATATTATATTCTTAGTTCTACAGCAGGCCACTGAATGGGTTTCAGCTTGAGAGTGGTCTAATCAGATGTACATTTTAATTTCAGTAGGACTTCCAGGTACAGACCAGACAGGTGGGCGTCAGAGAGGAGGGACATGGACCCCTAGGTAGGTTATTGTAATCATCCAGGTGAGAGATGATGGGGGCCAGGTGAAAGAATACACGGTGCATTCATGAAACAGGACTCAGGTTTTAAGTCCTTTTGAGCTTTGTTTGTTTATCCTTTTAGAAGGAAAAATACAGTACACGAGAAAACAAAGCAGTGAAGAGGCAGGCTCTGTAGTCATATCCTGACACCCACTTCCTGTGGAACATTTGCAAGTTGCCCAAACTCATGTACAGAAAAAAAGAGTGCTTATAAAGACTGCATGAGACAATTAATCTAAAGCAATTAGTATGATATACTAATTGTATATGCAAGATATACAGGGGGCTTCCCTTGTGGCTCAGCTGGTAAAGAATCTGCCTGCAATGTGGGAGACCCGGGTTCAATCCCTGGGTTGTTGGGACAATCCCCTGGAGAAAGGAAAGGCTACGCACTCCAGTATTCTGGCCTGGAGAATTCCATGGGCTGTATAGAGTTGGACATGACTGAGCGACTTTCACTTTCAAAATATACAGAAAATGCTCAAAAATTGGAAGCTAATGTGATTGGTCATTGAGAATGCCAAAGCAAGCAGCCTAGTTTTTGATCAGGTAAAATTATCAGGGGGTGAGCATAGGGAGTGCTTTCTTTTGACTCAATTAAAATTTGAATCTGTAACAAAATAGGAAGACAATCTGTACTTATGGGAAGAATCCAAAGGGAGTTAATAATGCAGGATGTTTTAGGAATTTGGAGATACAAGCCACATGGCAGAGAAAGTACATAATGGTCACCAAGAACATAAGTTTTGGGTGAGCAATATTCCACTGTGCATATATGTCACA